CCCAGAAAACAAGATATGATAAGACTTTTCCAAAAATGCTCTGATGATAATCACAAGTTATTTCTAGCAAAAAACTTACTAATGGTGTGTGACTTAAATAGGCTAAGGGAGTGGCCAATTATCCTCAAGCCTTACTCTCGAGGAGACCTCCTCCTCCTGAGTAGCCACTCCTGCCTTTTGGCAGCCCTGCATGCTCGAGCATTGAGAAGAAGCTCCTCTACTTTGCTCTCTCCACTTGAAGGAGCCTCTGGAGGTTCTGAAGGCCCTGGCTGAGTCTCTGCCTCTCGCACCACACCCTCTTCAGCCTCCTCGCTGTCCGACGCGAGCACCAGCTGCACAGGCTGCTGGTGCGACACCACACCAGCCTCCTCCTCGTCAGGATCAACCACAATCCGCGCAGATCGCTGGCGGGCCACAACACCTATGAGGAATTTATGTCAAGGTTGACTTCTGGCAACTGCCAGGTCAAGTCTCTAATTATCTTTGCAAGCTTTTTTGGAAATGGTTTGTCATTGCCTCCTCCTTCTCAGGACAGAGAGTGAGTTGCCCAAAGACCCCCAGCTGGCTTCATAACTAAGGTAAAACTCATGGTCTCCAAGTTTCTACCTAGTGTCTTAACCACTACACCAAACTTGTTCCCTAGTCGGGCCCGGTGGTGGGTTGCTGCCGATTCAGACCGGTTCTATAGAACTGGTAGTAAAACCAGAGGGAGGCTCCGCCCACTGACCCTGATGTCATCAGAATGCTTCTGCGCATGCACAGAACAGCGTGCGCACAAGCACACGGCCCCATTGTGAACCAATAGTAAAGGTGAGTAGAACCCACCCCTGGTCAGGCCTATGAAATAAGGCCTGGAATACTTGATATGAAACTTCAAATGAGAACAAATTACAATGAGACAAATAAACATAAATGACTTTCATAGGTAGAAAAAGCTGTAAAACATTTCCAAGAACAAGGGTATGACCAATTCAGCAGAAGGCTGATGTTCATATTATTATTATTTAGATAAAGAAAGTTCTGACATGCTGCCCAGTGAAATTAAAAACCTGGACCATAACAAACTATTGGCTCTGGTTTGATTGTGTTTCTTCAAAGATTTATAGTTGCATGTAAGTAGGATTTACAATGCAGTATTATTTCTGTTAAATTCAGTAGGACTGATTCTTTTGAAACTACAACAACAACTTTGACATGTCAGGAAAAGAAAACAAGAGTTTCTTTCTTTTTTCTTTTGATTCCTCAGAGAATTATAACCAAAAATTGCTTTTTTAAATATTGTTTGAATAATCAGTCACCAATTTTTCCTCAAACTTTAAATAAAACATTAATTTCTTAAAGAAAATATTGGCAGATACACAGAGAGAGAGAGCGAGAGAGAGCCGAGACAAATGTATGATTTTCATCTGCATTGATTATATGGAGATCATGTAACCATTGGCTATTTCTTTCTAATCCTCCAATCTGAGTAGGTACAAAACCATGAAATTGAAAGTCTAAATTTTATCACTGAACAGATGTTCCGATCATTCATTTTTACTGTTATTATTATTTTGTTCTTGCTATTGTTATATTGATATTGGAAAGATTGCTGCTATTTTTTCCCTTATTTTAGTTTTACATTTTTGACAGAAATGAAGTATGTGGAATGTCAAAATGAAATATGTAGAATGTCAAAATAAGAAATGAATAAAATTGATTTTATATAAACTGAACAGACCATATAACAACAGACCATTACAAAGGGGGCTAATCAGAACAGCCCGGGCCCTAATGTTCAGCCTTCCTCCCTCCCTTCACCCTATAGGATTAGCAAAACATTAAACAGTAATATAAAGCAGATAATTGTATCAGCTGCTTGACCTTACTACAAAAAGGCAATGAAATCGAATCTACCCAACTAGTTTATATGTTGGTGTGCAAAATCCTATTTGCCTTAATTAACAACTGCTTAGGGCTAATTTCTCAGCTGAGATCATACTTTTATCCATTCTTCATGCTGTGCTTACTTCAGGGTTATATTTTGATTTAAAATCACACATTGAAAGCAGCAGCATAGGCTTTCAATTCACTTCAGCAAGTACCTTAATTAAGTTATTTTCTCCACAAAGAAATAAAATCCACCAACTCTTGCTATACATTTAAATAACCAATATCAATAGAGAATGAATGAGATGAGATGATTTTGTTAATATGAGACTTCCCTTGCCTCAGACATCTGTTCTGAAACTTAACATGGAAATACACCCACAAATTGCATCAGTAAATTTGATTAGTTGAAACTTTGGGGAATTTTTCCAGCTGATTAACCCAAGGACCTTATTGCTAAACATTGGCATTGTATGGATTGATCAAATTCCAAGTGAATGCCATATATTAGAGAGTATAATTGCAAGTTGACTAAAAAATAAAGGAGGCTTAATCTAATGATGACTGGGATAAAATATTACTAGAAGTATCATATTAACATAACAAACCAGTTAATTATTATATTTATTTGACACAAAACCATATTGGCTGAATTTCATTATAGATTCATTTTCATTCAAGTTATCCATTGAAAGTATTTGTCATTCTTTAAAAAAATAAAAATGCTATCATTTTGTTAAGTTGCATGAAGTAAGTACAAGTGTTTTCTTTTCTTTTGGAAAAGAGTAAAGTAAATATAAACATTAAAGCATGTGAGAAAACATGTAACTTTTAACTGGCCAATGGGACTTTAATGTTCCATCCCTTTTAAAATGGCACCACAGCATAATAGCTTTCTTCTTAAGAAATTAAGAAAATAACTTAATTAAGACAAAGTTCCCTTGGGAAAATAATTAAAAATACTCCGTAAAAAAATAAAATAGTGAAAAATAATTTGGATTGTCCAGATGAGAAACTTGCATTTTATGTTAGACTGATTTATGTCAGTGGAAATTAGCAAGTATTGGAATTGTTACTCTTAATAATCCAATGCTTAACCTGACACTCTTTTCCCAACACAATATTGTTTCAGTTTCCAATACTGAATTGTTAGTCACAATCAGCATCGTTAGTGAAATTTCATGGCATCAGTGATTTTCAGTGAAATTCCAAAAACCCAGGACTTTTCTGAAGTTCATAAGAATGACAGGTTCTATGAGATCGATACCTACCTATTGTAGGAGCACATCTAGGTAAAATTCCCACTCTTAACTTCTTACCAAGAAAATGGATATACATGAAATGAATGACTTGATTACTATATACCAAATAGTGTGATGGAAACAATTTGGCTGTTATTCATGTTCATCTCACTAAGCAACAGGAAGTTTTTTTAAAACTATTCCAAGAATACCAACTATAAACTGCATAAAGTCTCTTTAGATCTGATTAAACCCATTTTGACATCTGCCAATCAAATAAGAACCTAAATGGATCATTAACACTGAATTACAATTAGTTTACCATTGAACTGTATTAGAATTGCATTCATATGCTGGATGCAGTGTAGAAGAAACAAGAGCCTTACTTCTTATCATAAAACTTTGGCGTACTACAATTAGCGCTGTTTTGGGATTGGCTAAAAACTATTGTACACTGAAGGCAATAAACCCAGGCAACTGCTAGGCACTCAAGATGGTTATAAATAAATTCACATATTTTATTGATTCATAAATACAACAATGCCACTGTACTGAAAGATTAGCCTATTGCAATATGATTCTTAATCCCCAAGTATACAGTAGTTTGTAATTATAAACCATTTTTTCCTGCAAACAACTTCACGAATTCATGTGAATTATTTATTTCACTTGAACTTTTGAATCATTGAAGATTAATATTGCCTGTGGTTTGTTTTAATCTCTCACCACATTGCGAAAAAAGGAAAAGGTTTTAATTTTCACCAGTTATAGATATTAACTATAGAGGTGTACTAAAGAAAGTTTTTTTAAATACCATTTTGGAAAAAGCCCAAGTTCAAATTCTGCTGCATTTGAACTTCACCTCAGAAGATTCAAAGTTCATATGTCTTCCCATAAATTATCTCTACAGTACTTGAATCAACTAACTGAGTATGCATAGAACCCTTTCTGTAGTATTTTCAGCCAAGGGTTGCATTGATTTTTGCATCAATTCCAGAAGTGTGAATCTAGAGAATGGGAACTGATAATAGAATACTATTATTCTATTGCTAACACTTCGGGACTGTTTTTAATATTGAAAAGATGTAATGGAAAATATTATTGTACATATTGTAAATACATATTGGTCCTGTCTTGTGCAGTTTCGTATATGAACTAGTGGAAGAATTCACACAGTGACATGTTTCATTGTAACAGGGCTTTAGAATTGATTAATAAGAAATATCAGCTTATAACAAATAATTATTCTGGGCCAAGGGCTCCTGAGAACAAATATATGCAAACAATTTTGCATTTTACATAAAATAGAATGCAAATATAGGAACTCCTCTGGAATTTTTTTGGGGGAAAGATAGGTCTCTTTTCACATACCACATTGTTCTGCTAATTTGAAATAATACTCTGCTTAATAATATCTCTTCTCCATAAAAAGGACCACTGGCCTAAGAAATCTGCCTGTCCCTGTTTTAAACTGATGATTAATGTACTCTCACTTTCATTTTCTTGTTTTCTTTGTTATAGTCTGGTATTGTTTTAGAACAAAAAAGAAACCCTCTTGATTTGTTGGAAGGAGTACTATCTAATGAGAAAATACTACTGTAAGTATCTGTTTGTTTCTAAATAAATTCATGGAAACATAAAAATGATTTTAGATCATTTTATTGATACTGTTCTTTTGATGCCAAATATTTTAAAGCACAAAATAATTGACTTTATCTTTATTTACAGTAAGAGAGTGTATCAGTGAATTGCACCAGACAATGCTAATTAACAGCATGAGAAGATCACAAAAAAGGACATTGACAGGAGAGCGACAATTACTAATTTATTTGTCTCTTTCTCAATTCACTTAGAAATATCTTTGGGAGTATAGCACGTCAGCCTTGTCAGGCTTTACACTGTAGCTGTCAGCATTTTGACTGATGTAGAAGCACTACCTGCTCTTGTTTGCCCTTCCTTTCACTTGAGTGCACACAGGTAAGACAGCTTGTTGGTAATTTTTATTTAATGCTTTCAGTATCTGTGGCTGTTCTTTTTTTTTTTTTTTTAGTGAAAATTCTGACAATAAGAAACTCAGCTCGCCAAGATTTTTAAGATTCCAACCGCAAAGCGCTGTGCCACTTAACAAAGGTTTTCCTCTGGGATTTGAATACTTTTTCCACTCTTCTCTGCTGCCTTGTGATCTCAAAGACAGCAGTTTAGGATGTTTGATTTAAGGGGAAGGGAAAACAAACTTCTGGAAACGAGTGGGAAAAAATATGGGTGCAAGTAGTGTGGCAGGGCTCTGGGGATGGAAAAGAATCTGTTAAAGTTGCACATTTTTCTAAAACTACATAGATTCATTGAGTTGGAAAGGGATCCTGTAGACTATTCAGTCTAATTTGCTGCTCTGTACAGGAAATCAAAGCTAGTGCATTCCCAATAGATAATTGTCATTGCAATGATTGAAAACCTTCAGCAAATATCAACACTACTCTTGGACATCAGGTAATTGATTCAGCAAATATCAACACTACTCTGGGACATCAGGTAATTGATTCCATTGTTAAATGATTTTGACCGTCTTGAAGTTTTTTTATCATGTTTCCCTACAATCTACCTTACTGTAAATTAAACCCATTCTATTTAAAGCTGTTTTGGGGCAACAGAACACTAATCTTTTATCTGACTGACATTCGCTTATTTGAAGAATGCGATAATGTCCGTCCTTCGTCTTTCCCCTCTAGGGAAAGTTTCAGTTTCTTCAACTTTTTCCCATGATTATTATTTTCTTTAAAATCTTTAAAATCTTAAGTCTGTTCTAAATATTTTTATATATTATTTTTAAGAGCTATGGCAATTCAAGCCAAAATTCCAGCATTTTGTTCCCATACTGGTTTTCAGAGTAACGTTCAGAAACAAGAAAAACTACTGCAGCATCCACTGATACCGAGAGGTTTATTGCAGATAACATTGGGAATAATATGTAACTGTCAAATCTTGTACACTTTTTAACTTCCAGGACCTTATTTAAGCTTCTTCAGTTCTGAACTGATCACAGTGTTAGTTGCTGCTGTCACTGGCAATTCGTGCTTAGTTTGAAAATGTATTCTTGTGCATTTTACTTGTAAACAAAGAATTTTACATTTCCTTTTGTTGACGTTCATTTTTCTACCTTCAGTCAGTTTTCCAATATATTAGAATTAATTTGAATTTTGTAGCTATCTTCTATTGTCCTTCCTAGTTTTTTGTCATCTAAGAATCTGAAGAATTCTATCACTTCCTTCACTGGCACTCAGTTTTTTTTAATCTCTCCAGTTTCAGAGATTAGAAGTACTAATTAAGATTTTCCAACCAGCTGGAAATCTATCTATAAATACTATGAATGTATGAAGTTTCCTAACCAAAATTTTGGAGCTTTGCTGAAGTCATGATGAATTATTTCTGCAACCGCTAACTTGAAAGATTGAAAAAAATCATTTCAAACAAATATACATATCACTGCATCATTATAAAAATATCTACAGATTGGCAACATTAAATGGTCAACACATTTTAGCAAGTTGTGAGAGCTAAATTAGATTTTATGGTTGCCATATTGTGGCCCTATTCCAAGGCATCAAGCCTTGTTCTTGAGGCCATACTGCCTGTTAAAATTCAACACTATTCAAATACTTTATATATATATAAATATATATATATATATATAAAGCCATATTCTTTACTAGTCCTCTTCCACTCAGAATTAAAAGTAGTCAGGAGAAAAAAATCACTTTTTTTATTCCCTGTACCCACTTGATAATATAACTAAATAACTATTATGAGGGGATATATACTGGCATCATAAATGGCCTAGCTAGAAAAGCACACATCCCTTAAGCGTTAATGTTGTGCCATGTGATTGTCAAAAGTGATTATTTGCATATGTTTTTAATACTTCTTCCAATATACAAAGACTTTCAAGGAGAAAATATATGCCATTTTAAAGTGACTCTTGGGATTGAAAGTATATTGAAATGTTGACGTTGATTCAAAACTGCAGATAAATATATGCTGTGTAGAAAGTAGGACTGTTGCCGAAATGAAACCTCTTAAAACAAAACAAAAAATAAAAGATCCCCCACTGTCTCATAAAATTAATCTCATAAAATAAATGTTCAGAGTATAGAAAATAAAGCAGATGAGTTTGAACTCACTGTACAGAAAGTCAAAGATGTGATGGGATAATTGGCATGATTGCAATCTAGTTAATGAAGGAAAAGATGCAATAGAAAGATGCATGGTATATTCAAAATAGTCATTCTTGTTCAAAATTCCACATAATGATTTTAACAATGCTGTAGAAACCATCTGGGTTAAAATAACTGAAGGGACAGATAAAAGCAATAGCACTGTTTGTATTTACTATCCCAAACCCAACTAAGGAAAAGATGTGGTTGAGATTTTCCAAAGCGAACTAATACTTTAAAAAAGAAATGAAAGTACAATGATGGGAGGTTTTAATTACCCTGACTTTTCTTGGGACAAAAGTTTTACAAATTGTGGTTCTTTCAGGAAATTCTTAACTTGTTTTGTGACAAATTTCTTCTCCTAAGGGTGGAAAAGGGCTATTCCATTGTAGAAATGAATCTTAATAATAAAGTTTTTTTCCCTCTTTTAACAGTTTTCTATTAACTCTTTTTCTACATTATATTCTTTAAGGTCCAAAATTCCTACATTTTCATATCTTTCAACTATATATCTCCAAATGTTTATTACTGACATCTCTTAATGTTGTTGCCCTATATATCTCTTTATTGTCATTCTCTAAAGAATTATACTCCTTTTTTTTAGTTTCATGTGTTTTATTTTTTTTTTTATTTCTGTTTTCTATTTCTCTTCTAAGTTTTTATTTTCTCTTAGTGTTTTTCATTTGTCTGTTCCTGTTTCTTGATTCTTGATTCTTCTGAATCCTTGCTCAATCAGAGCTTGTACAAATTCCTAACCTAGGAATAGTTTCACAGTAGAATCAATTATCCTGAGATCTGATGTTTCCTAGGGTGTGTTCAAGTAGAGGTTTGATAGCTTTCTGTCTGGGATGCTTTAATGTGAGGAGAGGATTAGACTCAGTGGCCAAATGGCCTTTTCTGTTTCTGATTCTACCCCTGGGGTCAATGTTCATTTGACTCCCAAAATATCCCTATACCTGGAAAGCATTAAGCATGATGAGTTTAGCAATGACAGGTGTAATGAAGTTACCATATGTCTCAGTTTTTCCTGGAACAATTTTATTTATTTAATTTTAAAAAAAAATATGTTCCAGCAGCCAAAAATATTATTTTGAATTTTGAAATCACCAAGTCTCTTTCTCAAAAATCAACATTAGAATCATGATGCATATTTATGAAATTATCTAAATTTACTCCATATATTTTGGTGTTTTAAAAGACATAATGCTTCAAGAAGTAAAGTATAACAAACATCATATGTTATTATCTGTAGTGCAGAGAAATGTGAGGAGTTAAAAATACTTGAGGTAGGCTGTCACTATTCACAACTTTCATGAATAATAAAGTTCTATCATTATCATGTCATTCTGGTAAATGTACCAGTATAGTCAATACAGCAGTATTGATTTCTTTTTGCCTAACCACATTCTCTCTCTCTCTCTCTCTCTCTCTCTCTCTCTCTCTCTCTCTCTCTCTCTCTCTCCATTTGCTTTGTATCCCAAACTTGTGCAACTCACAATAGAACCTGGCTGAAGAACTGGAAAAGTTACTCATTTGTAGACTGGATGTGGAGAAGTGTGGCATTTCGTATTTATTCATTTACTGGATTTATAAGGCTGCCTAACTCAAACAATGTGACTTGGATGGTGTACCACAGAAAACAAATATGTATGTATGTGTAACAATTTATGTATGCATATCAGTGGTGGGATTCAAATTTTTTTGCTATTGGTTCTGTGGGCGTGGCTTGGTGGGCATGGCAGGGGAAGGATACTGTAAAATCTCCATTCCCACCCCACTCCTGGGAAAGGATACTGCAAAATCCCCATTTCCTCCAATCAGTTGGGACTCGAGAGGCAGAGAATAGATGGGGGCGGGGCCAGCCAGAGGTGGTATTTACCGGTTCTCTGAACTATTCAAAATTTCTGCTACTGGTTCTCCAGAACTGGTCATAACCTGATGAATACCACCTCTGATATATATATATATCAATAGCAATAGCACTTAGACTTATATACCACTTCACAGTGCTTTACAGCTCTCTCTAAGCAATTTACAGAATCAGCATGTTGCCTCCAACAATCTGGGTCCTCATTTTACTGACCTTGGAAGGAATAATCACGGCTATATGAATAACATTAAAACATACACAATATATAAATCTGAAAATAAATATAAGATGGTGACCAAATAAAATCATAAAAACAATAAAGGGGATTTCACCCAAGTGGATCCACCCAAATTTCTAGGGAAAGACCAGATCTTCACAGCTCTCTTGACTGTTGCTAGATGACAACTCTTGTTAGCCCACGATCTTTTAATATTGTCAGTTTGACAAGTTGAAAAAGACTAATTGAAATTAGGGGACATCATCCATATGTTAATGGGGAAAAAGGGGATGTATTCTGCTCTTAGACTGCTCCACATGTTTGGAAAAAGATTTGAAGAATACAGAGAAAAACAAGAAGACTCATTGCACAGAAGGTTGTCTTAAGAGGTTGTTTATTCAATCTCATTTTCTGACCTGTCACTACTAGTGGTAGTTTCATTTTTTTTCTGAGATTTCTTTTTTATCCTCCTGATAGTGTTTTGATTTCAAAAACAGAAAGTTTGTACAGATTGAGACAAGCTTCTCTACTCTTTCACATGTTAGTCCTCTGGGTACAAAAAAGTGTAGTGTGCTGATACTGTAGATAAAAATCTTCCTATTATAAGTTACTGCAAAACACTTGAAGGAAATACTGGATAGCAATCTTTGAACACTTTGTCTTATTATATTCACTGTCCTAAAAGAAAGTGCTTGATTGAAAAACTTTTCCCCAAAATATTTTCCCATTTTTATCCATTTTTCATTTGAAAACTCACACAAGAAAAGCTATTGGAATAAAGGGAGGAGGGACAACAAATTTATTATCCAGGGAGGAGGGGCAATAAAATTGTAATTATCTGTTGAAAAGGTCAAAAGTTACTTATATATTTCAAATTTTTCTTTCTTTCTTTTCTTTTCTTTTTTTTTTCTTGTTTTTTATTCCCTGTAAAAATCTTAATAAATATGAATACATGTAAAAAATATTCCTCCTCACAAATTTCATTCCCCCAAGCCTTAGTATTAATGAACAGATGCAAACAAACTTTCTATTTTCCTTGAGGTATGAACTTAATATTGTTTATTTATGCAAAATATATTTTATGCATAATATAATTTCAATTGCAAGTTTTATAAAGTTTGGGAGTGGGTGAAAAGAAAAAGTAACTGGAGTTACATTGTGTGCCCATTATTCCCAAACACAAAGAACAGAAGGATTTATATGTATGTATGTATGTATGTATGTATGTATGTATGTATGTATGTATTTCTCTTTAGCCAGGTTCTACATACGTAAACCAAGATATTATGCAGCCCTAGTTCAGTGAAATCACAATTCACTAGTTTCTGGGCTTTTTTTCCTTCTGGCAGCCAGCAGACCCTTTGCTGCCCATTGGGAGACTAAGATAGATCTGGGCAGCAAAGGGTCTGCTGGCTGCCAGAAGGAAAAAAAAGCCCAGAAACTAGTGAATTGTGATTTCACTGAACTAGGGCTGCATAATATCTTGGTTTACATAGGTAGAACCTGGCTAAAGAGAAATACACATAAAACCTACGAAAAAGAAAGAATATCTATCTATCTATCTATCTATCTATCTATCTATCTATCTATCTATCAGTGGTGGGTTCCTCTTGATTCGGTCCGGTTCGGCCAAGCCGGTAGCGATGACGATATGACATCATTGAACTGGTTCTCCCCCCCACACCCCCCACACCCACGTTATTCTTACCTTTTATTTGGTCCCACCCCCAATCTATTGCTGCCTCCTGAGTCCCAGCTGATGACTAGAGGGAAAAAAACTGTTTAAACTCTTGCCGCGGCGCTTCAAAGGGCCATCCTACGGCTGATCAGTGTTAAAAGCAAACAAATGAGTCGGGTCGTAAGTGCGAGGACTGGTCGTAAGTGCGAGGACCTTCCAGAAATGACTCTGACCAGCTAGCCACGCCCACCTAGTCACATGACCTCCAAGTACACCCACAAATTAAGCCACACCCACAGAACCAATAGTAAAAAAATTTAGAACCCAGCCCTGATATATATATATATATATGTTTGGTGAATGGTTTGTTGTTACCTGTCAGTCTAGAGTATTTAAGGTGATAATCTGGAATCTAAAATGTCATACCAATGATGTGAATTTAGTAAATAAATAACTTTATAGACAAGAATTTGCTTCCCTCAAACATACACTCTATGTGGAAGCTCAGCCAAAAGGCCAGAGGCTAGACAGCAGATGTTCTCACAACAAAACTAGGAATTTGAAAGCAGATTAAGTTGAGGCAATTCTCTTCCACTAGAACTATGCAGCCCGAATTTAGAAAAGAACATCTTAAATAATCAAAGCACTGTTAAATGACTTATGTAGGCAGTGGTTAAGAGAGATAAACATGCCCAGTCTTCAAAAGAGCTGGCTGGTTGCAGACTGGGAAACATTAACGTTTCATATATGCAAAGGGTTATGTGAAACAGAGTTAAGGAAGTGGGCCATGATTTATTATGTATAGAATTAAATAAACCCAATCCCCTCAAAGCTTTTGTTAAAACTGCATCTAGTAAATAGTTCGGTTGAGAAGAATCTCATTTTTTGCCTTTGTTGTGTTAAAGAACTACATAAACAAAAATTGGGAGGTCAGCAAAAGTTTATAGTATTATGTAAAGGCTTTGGATTTGCATGTTCTGTGTGCAGAATGAATCAATATAGAACAGAGGATTCCACACTGCAACATTCAACTGTTTCTATCCCATATGTAACACGCTGAAATTGAGGTTTCTTAAGAAATCAGCTATTGTAGCTATAGCAGTGGTCAGGTATTAAATTATGATTAACAATGACACCTAACTGGTGGAGTTCCCTGCTTCATTTCTGCTCCTATTAGTGCCAGGAAAGCTAGTGCCAACTGCTTTCCTTTTTGTGGGCATGTCCTTTGAATAGTTGGGGAAAATGTTCTTCCCATCGCTTGATCTAGAAGAAAAGGCAGTCCTGTTGTTCTTCCCATCCATTTTTTTAAAAAAAATAATTTGTTATTCTATTGAGCCTTTAAAACAGAAGTGCATATGACCAGAATTCCAGTACCAACACCAAACTCAGAAAAAAAGCAAAGAACCAGCCTTTCATTGTCAGTAGTCTAGTAGCTTTGCATGAAATGGCTACTAAAGGCAGAGAGGGCAGAAAATGTGTTCTAGAGTATGGATGAGGATTTCTGGGACTTAAGGACCATGTGTCTTAAAGTTGCAAGATTGGTCAACCGTGCTTGAGAGCCAATTGGAATGGAGGCATAGAGGCAGTCCAGACTGCTATGTATGCACTTGTACAGGAAGAAAAACATTACTTTTGATGTAGAGCAAGGAAAACTGAATGGGGGTCACCTCCCAGTAACCTAAGAATCACTGAATTTGATTTCTGCCCCCTCAAAAAAATACATGGCCCCTTATTATGCCAGAGAAGACAGAAAATGCAGATCAGCCTTCTCAATGTACTGAAAGTGTTTGGAGACACCTCAGTAACAGTAGGACCATTTGTAGATTTTTCTGGACTACACATAGGCTTGTTTATGCACTCCTTAATGCTTTAAAACATACAGAAAAAATGGAGAAATCAGATCTATTTTAAATTGTATGGGCGCATCATTCATAATAGAATCTAAATAGCTTCACTTTGTGATGTATGAAAGATAATGAGAATAGATTAAGGAGGAGGCACCAAAATATTTTGCACTAAAATATTTATCCACTGAAGCCCTTTGTATTGAAATTACTTCCTTGACATTCGTATTATGTTTAAGCAAGAAATGACTGGCATATAAATTTGATAAATAAATAGAAACACATGCTGGGAGAAAGTTCATATCTGTTATACTATTAACTGCCCTATTTAGTGAAATGTGGAAAATGCTTTATCTCAATGAATTACCTAGTTATATATATTTTCCAATTGCAAACTGAAAAACAATTGCTGCATAGATTAATTAACAGAAGGAGAGAGAAGTAAAAACCAGTAAGATAATATCAAGAGTATGATATTATAGAAAGAACTATCAGCAGATTTGGGGAAAATATTTACTTAGATCTTTTTTGCATACTTTCACAGAAGCTTTTTAAAAAGCTCAGAGGGATTTGAATTAATTTAGAATAATCTCTAAACTGTGGATTTCTTCTGTGTGTAAATTCTCTTATTCAAAGTGGGTATAAAGTAATGGCAGCATTGTTTGTCAATGTCCTCCAGTGACTGTTAGCAGTGGATTTTTGCACATATTGTTCCAGGCAAAAAATTAGTATTTTGCATTAGCAGAGGATAATTAGGCAATAAGATACAAAAGAGAGTGGGGTTATCATGAGATAAACACACACATGGGGCATTCAGAGGCACCGCCAAGTATCTGTAATCCCCCTAGGGTATGATTATCTCATGATAACCACACACACTGGAGTTGTCTTATTGCTATTATAAAATATCTTTATTATAGGAAGAAATGTGCATTTTTGTGCTGAAAGAAGATGGAGCTGGCAATTTAGAATGTGTGCAGCAGTTTCAGCTGAGCTGTGTGTGTAGTTTACATGGATTAATCTATCCCCCCTGGAATGTTTCCTTAGCCAAAAAACTGGTTCCTTAAATCCAAGCAGTTGTAATCTGTGATAGTGAGATGTAGCTTTTCAGGGTATTTGAAAATTCCCAGCTTGTTTACTTTGTTGCTCAGTTGATTGCTGAAATGCACATATGTATACACATACACAAACATACATAGACAGACATTTGTGGAAAATACCCTTCTTACCCTTCAATAAGAGCCTTGATAGTACAGTGGTTTAGTGCACCCTGTTATTAACACAGCTGCCTGCAATTTCTGCTGGTTCGAATCTCTCCAAGGCTCAAGGTTGACTCAGCCTTCCATCCTTTCTAAGGTAGGTGAAATGAGGACCCAGTTTGTGGGGGCAATAAGATGACTTTGTATAAAATATACAAAAGAATGAAGGCTATTGCTTAACGCATTGTAAGCCGCCCTGAGTCTCCGGAGAAGGGCGGCATATAAATCAAATTAAAAAAAAAAAACCAGTTATGTAGACAAGTGGGACTTACGCTTTATTAGATGTTTTTAAATAGAGCTTAGACTGTTGTTGGCTATAGTTTAAATTAAATCCCTACTCTGATCAAGGAATAAGACCGGATGGCTCAAATAGGCCTCTCCAAGCCAATGGTTTGTTTTTTTGTGTGTGTGAATCTACCGTATATTTTCAATTTTTTTTTTCAAATAAACAAAAGAGTTCAGCTCATAAATACTCAGAAATACCTTGTCATACCGATAATCAACTTATGGCAGGATAAAATGTTTGATGTGGGACAAGTATGAATAATAACTATCTTTATCTGAATCAAGACTTATCTTTGTCTTTAATTTCTCAGAGAAGTAATTCAAGTTGAATTGGATTTCAACAAAAAAAGGTAAAATAATATTTTCTTCAGTCATTTCTGTCTTCTGGTGCATTATACACATTGATAAGGGGCTGTAGCTATATTGGGCCACATTATGGACTATTTTACTCTCTTTTTGATAACAATCAAAACTTCCTAAACTGGACTAATTATACCTCTTGATACATTTTCCTATCTTTTGGGGGTCTTTGGTGCTCTCTGAGCTTGGTAGTTTTTTTGTGGCTATGTCATTACCACATTAAGTAAAAATATTATCACTTGTGTGCCAATTGTATTACCTAGTTTAGTAATAAAACAATATGCAAGAAAGCCACCAATCTCGGAGAGCACCAAGGTCTCCACAGTTCAACCCAGAGCTATAAAAATTCTCTTCTATCACTTCCATTTTTTGCTTTTTACTTAATGAAGGAGAAATTTATTTATTTATTTATTTATTTATTTATTTATTTATTTATTTATTTATTTATTTATTTATACTTATATGCTGCCCTTCTCCCAAAGGACTCGCGGCGGCTCACAAAATTAAACGATAAAAACAATAAAAAATAAGCTACTAAAAACAATCAATTTAAAATCTCCCAATTAAAAATCACCCAACAGATCAGCAAATTTGTTGGAAAAGCCATGTCTTCAGGTCACGGCGGAAAGAGCAGAGGTCGGGGGCCATCCAGAGCTCCGTGGGTAACCCATTCCAGAGGGTCGGTGCGCCCACAGAGAACGCCCTCATCCTGGGCACCACCAGCCGACATTGTCTGGCCAATGGCACCCGGAGGAGGGCTGTCCTATGTGACCGCACAGGGCAGTGGGAGGCAGGCAGAAGGTGGTCCTGCAAATACCCCAGGCCCATGCCATTAAAACAAGATAACAAAGAACAAGGAAGATTAGTTATTCTTGTTCATAGTAAAATGTCTATAGTCAAGATAAAGCACTCCAGTGTTTCTCACCCTCCCCACCCCCTACAATAAGGAAGCATGCTTCACTGAAAATAACAGGTTGCATGTAAATTTTACTGAATATACTTTTAAAATAGATGCAGGTAAATTTGGGGGCTGAGAAGTTTCCCCAGCAAAATTAGCTTTGCCTGTACAATCAATATCTCTGCTGCCAACAATCCTTCTCTCCTATTGATGAACAAGAACTCTAGAATTAATAGTTCTTAAGAGAACAAGTGACATTTGGCAACACAAGAACTTTCTCCAAAACTTTCATTTAATTTACAAATATCTCTGTTCTCAAATGTTTTAATCCAGCAACTCATTATTCAGAAAATTGCTTTGGTTTTCACCACTGTTTTTGACTGACTTTGAATAAAAATCAACTTATTTTTAGACACAACAGAAGCATTTTCTTCCTTTATAATAGTCCTGTAATGTGTATTGATGGTGCTGAATTTTCAGGTGACCAAATCACTTCCTAAATGATCATGTTCTCCTATAAAAGTGGGGGAGAGGGTAGTGGTTTCTGTATTCAGAAGTTTTTAGGGCAGCCTGCTTTGATTTGTAAGGCAGTGTGACTTATTGGTGGGTTGCTCCTGGTTCTGTCCGGTTGTATAGAACCGGTAGTAAAACCAGCAGGAGGCTCTGCCCACCCGGCACAACACCATCATTGGTGATCTGCGCATGCGCAGAAGAAGAAAAGCATGTGACCAATTCCGCTGCAAATCCGTAGTAAAGGTAAATGAACCCACCGCTCGTTGTGATGGGATATACAGTAGTTGATAATAAAACAGCACATAATACTGATAAGCAAAAGGAAAGCACTCCTACTGTTTTCTTCACACATTCTCATTGATATTGAACAAATTTTAGCTAGAAATTAACATTGAAATAGACTGTAAATTGTGTGTTAAAATGTAATCAATATTTTTATTTGTGTTTGGGCAGCAAAAAAACTGTGAAGAAAGCTTCATGGAATTTGTTTGTGTATAGATACTTGAATGCTGGCCTTCAAAATGTGTCAGTTGTAATTTAAGATTGGTGTTTAATATGGAATATGGAGATCAATCCAATTGATTTCATTGAATAAAATAGTCCTTGTAAGGATATATGGGTACACATTTTTAAATGCAACAAGCCCAATAATTGGTTTAAATGTAAAAATAAATTGTGTCTAGAGAAATCCAGCTCAGCCATGGCTGATGCTTTATTGGTTTTTACATTTCACTAACTGATGGGCTTTCATGTAAAATCAATAGTTTGCAGTCAAGTATATTTTGCTTTCTTGTGCCGTAGGTTCTGTTAGCTGAAGTACAATTTTTATGTCAGAAGCCAGTCTTTCGTTTTGCAATAAACCTGTTTTAAAACAAAGAATTTAAAGGCTCACTTTTGCCTCCAAAAGTTCCCTAGCAATAACGTATGGATTTTATCATTTGATTCTTAGGTTGGTTAGGATTTAGGGGAAAGAAGGATTTTGATTTGGTTTGTTGTGGTTGTTATTGTTGGCTAACTCCCAGGTTTTTTTTTTAATTAACTCCCTGGCTATTCCATCCTTGAAAAGCAATTGTCTTCCATTAGATGGATAAGGTAGACAAAAGGCAGCATGGCAAGCTCATTTAGCAGAAAGCAAGAAAACTGTGTTCCTCGTGCTACATCTATACTGAATCTGACAGCAACTTCACATTGTGCTGTAATGGTGTGGAGGGGCACCGGCTTTGTTCCCTTTGGGCATTTTTGACAGTTTTAATAGAAGTGAAAGGCAGTTTCTCCAAGTAGAAGGAACTATTGCTTTTCATTTTTTGAAATTGTAATTCGTGGCTCACAGCAGGGGAGAGTCTAAGATCAAAGAGTAAAGCAAATTTGCCACATCCTCCTTGGTCTCGCTCGGAATGTTACCCAAGTGCATTCTGCAGAACTCACTGTCACAAGAGAAAGACCTTGGCAGGGTAATGCATTTGGACCACAGATATTGAAAGAAATAGTAAATATAACTCATCCAAAATAGCCTAAAATGTCAGCCCTCCCTTCATATGGCCATAGCTTCTCATATTGCAAAATGGCAAATTTTACTTCAGGGGAGAAGGATCGTGTTCCCATGGCTAAGAACTCTAAAGGTCATTCAGTACTTTACATCTAGAGAGGGCAATGGCCACATTGTGAGATTTCTGGCTCCAATAAAACAGCATCTGAAAACAGTGAAATTCTTCTTTCTGGTCTCTCACAGTCTGAACGAACAGCGAAACACTCACAAATGGTGTTCTCCCCCTCCGAGTTTTTTCTCATCCCTCCATAATAGCCTTGAAAGAGCAGGTGCAATTTTATAGTCATCTGAATTACAAAGCTATAATTACTGGTGGAATTTCATATTTTCATGAAAAGGAAGTTTCTTTCGCAATAAAGTTCTCAAACTCAGAACTGACATTTCAGACCAGCTCCTTCTTCCAACCCTACAATTCAGAAACACTCAAAAGGTTAAAAATATAATAGACCTAAAAATAAATATACATGCCACTTATTGAATTCAGTGGAGCAGAGAATTCTTCTGGACTCATGAATTCAGTCAGAGACCAGTTTTATATTTTTTTAAAGTCATGATTTAAAACAATTGAGCACACACTATAAACATTGAATCACTAGAAAATGAAATCTGGTGAACCATTCACAACCCAACTGAACTAATACGTTAGAATATTATAGCTTCAGAATATGTGAAGTGCATGTTAGATCTGCTCAAAAGTCACTTTGGCTGAACAATGGTTGAACAATTTACATAAAAATATGTGTTTTGTCAAATCAAAAATATATTTGCTATACATGACATGACTTCAAACAAAAGTGAGAGCAAAAAAAAAAAATGTTGTCATGGAAGCAGTCTAAAAATTCACTTTCCAAAAGATCGAAGAGTTTAAGGAAGCAAGTTTGACCCATGACAAAATCTTGTGTAGCTGGATGTTTCTGTCAGATTTAAAGGTAATTTGGCCAACTTTTTCTCTTCAGATGTTCCTCTGAATTTATTTCAGAGGCTTTATTTATTTATGTACTGTATTTAACCTATAGTAGTCAATTAACACATCCATTTTTATGGAACAGTTTGGATTATTTTATTCCTTTTTTAAAAAAATTTGATTTATATGCCGCCCTTCTCCGGAGACTCAGGGCGGCTTACAATGCATTAAGCAATTGTCAGTGTTGTTTTAAGTTCATTAAATATTGGGGTTTTCCTAAATCTGTTGATTTTTCTTTCTTACACATGAATGAAGCTATGTTGGCTATGTTTGCATAACATTGTAATCAAAAACATTTAATAGCAATGCACTTAGACTTATATACCACTTCACAGTGCTTTACAGCCTCTCTGGTTTACAGAGTCAGCATATTGCCCCCAACAACCTGGGTCCTCATTTTACCAACTTTGGAAGGATGAGTCAACCTTGAGCTGGTGAGACAGCAGTCAGCAGTCAGCAGAATTAACCTGCAATACTGCATTCTAACCACTGCGTCACCACGGTTCTTAATAAATTTTAGAAAACTAGTAAATGAGTATGTAATGGTCCTGGTTTTAGTTATTTTCACATCATTGTATTTTAACATTTTAAGCTTATTTTATTATTTCTTTAACATCTTAAGCTTATTTGCATAAAAGTGACCATCATTCTGAACACAGATAACCAAAATAAAGCTTATAAGCCTAAATTCTATCTGTGTTCCAGATAATGCAATTAGCTTAAGAGTTGGTTAGATGCCATTTGCAGTGGGGAAAAGAGTAAGATTATGATAAATCATGTTTAATCATCAGAATTTTTAAACTGTTGGCTCTGTAATGACCCAGTCTGGTTATCTGAGTCTACTGTAAAGTTATATGATTGCATTATTAATATGGAGTTGACAGTTCTGTTCATAATAAGCCTGGTATAGTTTTAAGTACAGACATACAATTTATTCAGGATTTTTTTATGGAACTAAACCAATTAGACAAATAGATCACACATATATTTCTGCATATTGGACAGCTATTAAAGGTACAGGATAAAATTGAAACCAGCATCCTAGACACAAAAAATATCAATTTACTTT